AGAATAGTGCTTCAAAATCAAGAATGAAATACCTGAAGAAAATGGAGAGCAAGATCATGAACTTAAGGATATTAAGAAAAGGCATCAATATGACCGTTAACTAACTCGCCTTTCAGGAAGAAGAAGGTGACGAAGACGAGGAGGACGTCGAATACGATGAGGCTGGCAATCGTATTGTCCCTCCAAGCACAAAAAGATATATCTACACAGTTTTTGATTAGCGAATTGACCATGAATCTAACATCTCGGTTAAAGGTAGTGATCACGATAGCTGTAGGGCGTTGCGGTTTTGATGACGTCATTGGCCATCATTGGTGGAAGGGCCAGGAGGCGGTCCCAACCACAAACCCCACGTATTGGGGTCTGGTCCACCAGTGACGTTCAATGACGTCATCAAAACTGCACCGCCCTCCAGCCATAGCTATCACTGCTTGTCGTGAACCCATCTCGGTATGGTTGTACATCTTCCATGACCAGGTTACGCCTTGTCCTTATCCCGGCTATGTTAAATGCTCAAATTATCACCTCAATGATCTCATCACTAATCTTTCATGTTCAGCTTGACGTATCGTGTCTTGTCGTTGTTGGACTGCATAAATCTTCCAGAAATTCATTTCAATCTCATAAAAACAGAGATTCATACATTGTGCAGGTGCATGGGGTAACCGAACACGAACACGAAAACATTTGTGATAAACGACAACAAATACAACTAGTGGAAAGAGACTGTTAAGCATTTCAAAATAATAACTATAAATAAATCGATATTGGAGTATCATGGGTAAGACAAATACGAACAACTGAACATTATTAAAGTCTGTCAGACGAAACGAATCGCGATGCTACACTGTACCATCAGATCCATGTGAGGAAAAGTCCGTAGATTTCGTCGTTCATTAAAGAACTCGTATTGAAGAAAAGAAACAATGACAACTGCATCGAGGAAAATGCGAGAACCGGATCACGCGACTGGTCTGGCACGCCCCATTGGAAGTGCTGGTGGTGGCATAAGCGCCCGATCCTGATCCTCCTGAAAGAACTTTGGTTGAATTAATCAGATCATTGACGAAACCTTTTCACATGTCGAATACTGCCCTAGGAAAGAAAATAAGGACGAAACTTCCCACAAAACTTTGTCTTCCAAAACCCAATTTTCTGAAAACTGCAACTTTCGACACACTAACGATAACACGCCTTTGGGCAGCGTAGATCCAGTAATTTTGCAGGCACAACCGCCTCACTTAATACATGTGGATTTTGAGTGATCCTACACAAAACACGCGAAGATAAAGGGTTTGGCGTTCAACAAGCACTCCTTGGAGTGCGGCACGTGTTTAGCTCATATGCTCAGACTCGTA